ATTTGAAAAGTCAATAAAATCGTTTTGTGCAGACTTTAAAATGCACATAATTAATACCGATGGTCAAAAATTCGTTTGTAGACGTTAACAAAAATGTATAAAGTCAAAAGAACGTCGTGCCAATTACAAAACGTGTATGAAATGATATTTTTTGACTTTTTAACTACAATCAGCACAAAAATTAATCAATTTATCATATTGAACAGATAAACAGTTAAAAAAGTACCAACTTAGGATTCACTCTGTATAAAAAATTGACTTACCTTTTAAGGCCTTTTTCCAATTTTTATGGGTAGTTTTCTGAATTCCAAATGCACTATTTAATTCTACATTTTTATTTTTAAATATCCAAGTTCGAATTTGAATTTTTTAATTCCATATTTTTATTATTTTCGAGTTTTTAAAAAAAAATTATTTTAATGACTTCTATACAATTAAAAAAAAGTTATTAGCATAAGGTTCACCTTGTGTAAAAAAATTGACTTACCTTTTAAGGCCTTTTTCCAATTTTCTGTTTGTCCAACATATTTAACCTCAGTTTATAATTTTTTTAATATTATTTTTATATATTTTTCTTTATTTTTTTTTATTTTTTTTATGTTCGAAAAGACATTAAAACTGCTCACAGGTCTAATGGAAATAGTAAAAAAACACAAATTAAATATCACCAAGACATGTTTATTCTGCCGGTCTCAACAAGAACCGAATTTACAAAAAAGAGTACAGTTGTCCACGGCCAGATTGTACATTCGACAGACAAAAATGTCCGTCCAGTGTACATTCTGACCGACATAAAATCTACAACGAAAACAAAAATTAACAATAGACAGCTAATAAAATAAATACAACTGTTTTTTCGATTAAAAACCAACGCTGTTCGAATACAATTCAGAAATTACAGACAATCTGACAGACAATCTAACAGATAATTCGGTAGACTGAGTAGTAAAACATTGCACCACAAATTTGAAAATATTCCCCAGATCTGGGGAAATTCTGTAATTATTTAATGATAAATTAACACAATTTCCCCAGATATGGGGAAAAATTAGAAATTTGTGCTGAAGTGCTTTACTATCTACTACTTGACTGACAGATAATCCGGCAGACAGACCGAGGACAGAACAACGGCACGTCTCTAAAACGCGAGCCAGGAGACATTACATGGGGGGTGCAACACAAGAATGAGTTGGTCCAAAACATTTTTTGATCGGCCTCTTTTTTTGCTAGTACGATCGCATCGCTAATCCCCCCTCAGTCTCACAAACCTCCTGACACTCGCTATTTATACTAATCATAAAATGCTATGATACAATGGTGATACAAACAGGCGGATGATAGATTCCATGAAAATGATTAAGTCTCTTTACAAATTGAGATACGCAACACAAAACTTATATCCATAAATATAACCTACAAATCAATTTATCACATATATTAAACAATAATATAAAAGGCGGACGGACGATTTGGTTGTCGGCATCGATGCTGTTAGAAAGAGACGGAGGTAATTGCTGAAATGCGTCGCAAAATCCTCTAAATAAGTCACTAGTGTTATTTAATTTAGCAAAACCACTCGTATAATTCCATACATAATGAAACTTTCAAAATATATGTCAAAAGTCAAAAATATCGTTCTAAGTCAAAATTTGAATCAAATATCAATGTCATTTATAAATTCATACATGGTCGTTATGTTTATAAAACAGTCAAAAAAGTCGTTCTACGCTAGTACTTTTATAAAATCAGGAGTAAGAAGTTAAAAGTCAAAAAAGTCGTTCTAATTTCGTATATAGATGCAATTAAAAGTCTGAGGATGTCAAAAGTTAAAAAATCGTTCTACCAAAAAAGTCAAATTTTACGTCAAATGTCAAGAATGCCTTCTTTAATTCATACGTGGTTGATATTTGTAGATGGACAAATGTATATCAAAAGTCAAAAATTGCGTTCCAACAGCATTTTATAGAATGAAAAAGTCAAAAAAATCTTTCCAGGATCGTAAATTTTTATAAAGACTGTAGGTGTAGAATGTAATAATCAAAAAGTCGTTCTGTCAAAAAAAGTCAAATTTATATCGATAGTCAAAAATCACGTTCCATTCGCATTTTATAACGTTTTTCTTAAATAAATAAATAAAACAGTCAAAAAATCGTTCTACGCTTGTATTAAAGCCGAAACGTTTGTGTTTTAATAGTTTGTAGCCGTAGGATAAAAAAATTGCGTCAAAATGTCGTCTTTAATTCATATCTGGTTGATATTTGTAGATAGTCAAATGTATATCTAAAGTCAAAATTTACGTTCCAACAGCAAGTGTTTTTCTAAAGTAAATAAATAAGTCAAAAAGCGTTCCACGCTCGTATTTTTATAAAGGCTGTAGGCGTAGGATGTTGAAAGTCAAAAGTCGTTCCATCAAAAAAGTCCAAATTTGCGTCATATGTCAAGAATGTAATTTATATGTGGTTGATGTTTGTTGATTGTCAAATGTATATCAAGAGTCAAAAATTACGTTCCACTCGCATTTTATAACGTAAAAAAAAAGTTTAAAAAATCGTTCTACACTGGTATTTATATTAAGTCTATAAGTAAATAATGTCAAAAGTCAAAAAAATCGTTCCACTCTCGTATTTTTATAAAGGCTGTATTCGTAGTATGTTGAAAGTAAAAAAAATCGTTCCATCAAAAAAGTCCAAATTTGCGTCGTCATATGTCAAGAATGTAATTTATATGTGGTTGATGTTTGTCGATTGTCAAATGTATATCAACAGTTAAAACTTTTGTTCCATAAAAAATCGTTCTACGCTCGTATTTATATTAAGTCTATAAGTCAATAATGTGAAAAGTCAAACAAATCGTTCCAAGCTCGTATTTTTATAAAGGCTGTAGGCGTAGGATGTTGGAAGTTAAAAAAGTCGTTCCATCAAGTAAGTCTAACATTGAAGGCTGTACGCTTAGGATGTTTGTTAAGTCAAAAGAGTCGTTCCATTAAAAATTCAAAATTTGCGTCAAATGTCAAGAATGTCATTTATAATTCATTCATATGTGGCTGATGTTTGTGGATTGTCAAATGTATATCAAAATTTAAAAATAACGTTATACCTGCATTTTATAATAAATAAAATATAGAATTATTAAAAATACAAGTTTTTAAACTATAAGTGAATAATGTCAAAAGTCAAAAAAATCGTTCCACACTTATAGTTTTATAGTCTGTAGGTGTAGGATGTCAAGAGTCATAAAAGTCGTTCTGTGTACACCTTAAAATGCATGAAATTAACATGAACGGTCACAATATTCGTCTATAGGCGTTAAAAATTAATTATAAAGTAAAAAAAGTCGTTCCAATTTAAATTGTTCGATTTTGTAACACGTCAATCATTAAAAATGTTAAAGTTCTATATGCTATTATGTGAATTACCGTTTAAAAGTATGTAGGTGTATCAAGTCAAAAGTCAGAAAAATGGTTCTGCTTGTAATTTTTGTAAAGCCTGTAGGTAGATTATATAAAAAATTTTAAAAAATCGTTCCGTGCATACCTTAAAATATACACAATTAGTATTAAATCAAAGAAATACGTTAAAAAAATACGTATAAAGTCAAAAACGTCGTTCCAATTACGAAACGTCCATATACTACTAACTTCTTTGACTTTTTGAAGCATTAGTCCAATAACGTAAAAAGGTTTGATAGTCTATTATTGTTTGAATTACTTTTTATGAGAGTTTAAGTCAAGTCAAACAAACCTTGAATGAAAGTAGTTCGTCAATGTCAATTAATATTTGTAGCTGTTAAAAAGTTATTCAGCAGAAGTCAGTTAACTAACTTTAAGAACGACTTTAATACTTTTTTGTAAAGTAAACGTAGAAAGTCAAAAATTCCGTTCTAAAAGTTGACGAACCAAAAAATGTGTGTCAAAATTAAAATATGTAAAGCAACAAAAATTTTAAAAAGCACTTCTGTTATACGAATAAATGTTAATGTGTCAAAAGTCAATAAAAAACTTTATGGAAGAATTTCATTTTAAATATGAGTCAAAGTTATTATGTTTCTGTTTTTAATGTCTGTAGTTGTTAAAAAAGTTATTCAGTAGAACTCAATAAAGTAATTTTAAGAACGATATTTTTTACTTTCTCTTAAAGTAAAAGTGGAAGGTCAAAAACCCCGTTCTATTTGTTGACGTATGAAAAAATAAATATGTGAAAATTCAAATAAATCGCATATGAACCACTTTTAAGTGCCAAACATTCTAAATGACATCGTTTTAAGCACATTCGACTCAGTAGATAAAAGTAAAAAATGTCGTTCTACGAATGGAAGAACGACTTTTTTGACTTTTTATATAGAACAAACTTAGAACGGAGTTTTTGACGTTTATTTCATAATTTTTAAATTGTGTATTATTGAAGTTTCCGATTAAGATATCGATTAATTTTGTCGCGCATTAAATGTGTTTCCGTCTCTCTTCAACGCATCGAATTGCCAATTTAGAATGCCGCCAAACAAATCGTCCGTTCGCTAGCAATTAATTCTACAACAGGAGAATTATTTAGGTGCTGATGCCAGTTTCATCGATAATAATCCTTTCATTTACATCATATTTTTTTATATAATTTAGTGATTGTTGAAATCTTAACTACACAAGAGTCGGAACATGGCGCCGGAAGAGAAAAATGGTTTTTTGGTCCGCTATGTACAATAATAACGGCGCGATGTCCCAACACCTCGACGGAAGTAACTTTACAATGAGGATCCAGAGTAGTTCCCTGCTACAACACGAGAGGGCACACATCAATATTTCAATTATGTATATATTTATATAGACAGAGATAGTGTGGGTATTTTTCGGGGATCGGGAGGATGTTGAATGAAAATTTACAGCAATTATAAATTATTTGGTTTTGTAACTCTTTCGATCAAAAGTGGCACCTAATTAAAAATGTCCCAATGCACTTCCACTTTTTGTACTAATAATCTCTTGCGCGGTTCCCAGAACCGCAACTATCTTACACCTCTAAAGTGACCACCTTCATCGGCCTCGGCGACGGGGACGGTGATTTCTTGGACAGATTGAGCGGTTGCTGCGAATCCGCAATGTCCACCTGCAGCTCCACCATTTTCGGTAAAGCCGTCAGTAAGGGAGATCTGGACTGCGGGGGAGCCGGCGACGTCGAATGCGGCGACTGCGCGTGCAGGTACAACCGATTGTAGTCCTGGTGTTGCGGAGGCGGCGTTTGACTGCTGTGCATCTGATTCTGACGCGCTGTCGTGGTAATAACGCTCGTCGCCCAAGCCGGTTGCAACAACGACGCGCTGGATTTGTACGGGCACGCCGTAGGAGCCGCCGTCACCATCGGAGAAGCGGTAGAGGGAGATTCGCCGCGCATGATGAAATTATGGATAACTTCGGTGCGCTTCATTTGCTCAGCCGTCATTCTGGGACCTTCCATTAAAGATTTGGCCAGCATCGAATGGGAACTGGACAGCGTTGATTGCGTTGCTGAGAGCTGTGACTGCAGTAGTGATTGGTGCATTTGCTGCGGTTGCGGCGACATCACCACCGCAGGTTCAGCTTCGGCGGAATCTTTATTCCTCAACGCTCTAAACTTCTTGTGCGGCTTATACGCTTCGTCCATCAAAGAATTTGTATCGTACAACGGAGGTGCTTGCAAGACGCGTTTCAAAACCGGCATATCTTCGACGATATGGTGATCGTCGACTGATGATCTCGGACTCGAACATACCGAAGTGGGTTTTTCGACCTTTTCAGTACCGGATTCTATACCGGAATCGCTGGGAGAATCTAATTTCCGGAATCTCGGTAGAGGCCTCGAAACTGGGGTAATAGTAATGCCGTTGTGGATCAGATGTGATGTAGCGGCTAATTCGTCGTCTCCTGATGAAGTTGAGCCTGAATTGGCGCGATGTCTATGCGGGCAAACACCTCCGGCTAAAGTAGCCGCTAACAAAGGTGCGTTTGTTACATTTGAGCTGATATGATGGCTATTGGGATGCTGGTAATCGTGGATCGAAGTCATTTCTGATGAGCACATTGATTCGGTACTAGATACAGATCCAAGAGGTGATTTAGCTTCATCCATCGTTACATCCGATGAAGACGACCAAGAAGACGCTGCAGGACTTTTACTATTACTTTCTTCCTCCATATGTCCGTTCCAGGAATGCTGTTGTTGCTGCATCATCTGCTGCTGTTCGGTCATCTTAAAAGCCAGCAATTTCTCGGAATGCAACGTATTTAATGTACGCAAATCCGGTATCTTTTTTATCAATTCGTCCATAATACACGATTGCCCGTGATGATTTTGCGCGACGACCATTTGCAACGAAGCTTTCAACTTATTTTGCATCTTTTCGATTAATTCTGTGTTACGTAAACCGGGACGGTCGGCGGCGATCACTACCACCGAACAGAACAAACCGATTTCGGCGTCGGATAGTCTCAAAGAGTTCATGCGTTCCGCGAAATCGAACATACTGTCCATCAGGAATCGGGCGTTCGAACTGTTTTGGATCGAATCGCGTTTTAACACTTGTCCGTTCAGGCAGATCATGCTGGCCGTTTGGGAATCGAACATGCACGCCAAACGGACCAGTAGCACTTCAAAGACACCGGCTTTCAGCAGGGTGACTTGATCGTCTTGGGCCAATAGCGAGAAGCCGGGAATGCGTTTTGCGAATTCCACGACTCCGCGGATGGCCGGAGAGAAGCGTTTGGAGAAGTCTTGTAGCAATTCCTGCTGGCCGGTCAACGGTTGCGGATTGGGGTTCAGTGGGCAAGCCTGTAACAATAGAAATAACAATTAGTTAAATGAAGGATAAGAAATTTATAATGGTGCATAAGAAATTTTGTTGTATCTGCTCTATTTAAAATTAGAAAACAAAAGATTTAGGAATAGGCAGAGCAGTGTAATCTAAGTACCTTGTATATATAATCGCGTCGATGGTGTAGCAGTCTCACGCGCTTATATTTATTTGCAGGCAAGTTTGTGGTTAGAGACAGACGAGCTTCGAATCTCACGCCAGACCATATGGATTTTTAAATAAATTGTAGTTCGGTATAGGATTTGATTTGTGCCGCATATATGGAAATTCAATTTCTGTTGATATGACATGCAGATTATAAAATCGCCAAGCATTACCGTCTCGATGATGGTGGGTGAGGTTTTCCGGGTTTTCCTCACCTGTAAGTCAAATGGCACCATCAATCATCTTTAAGTCGCCCCAGAGCGTCATGGCACATAATAATAATAATATCCGTCCCTTTCCCGCAAAAGCTCAGCATTTGGGGTTAAAATTCACTCGTAAGGGGGTGAATTAGGTAGAGTATTATTATTATTATTATTATGTTTCTAAAATAGGTTTTGGAAAAACGTATGTCGAGTTGTAGCAAAAGTTGGAAAGGCCTTTTCCGGTTCTCTCACTTCATCCAAAGGAGATTTGACAGTTTTGACATTGTACCAAGATGAGGGGTCCAGAGATTATCGGTCTTAGAGCGTTTATGGAAACTTTAAACACAGTTTAATGCAATGGTTCCCAAAGTGTGCGTCGTATAGAGTAAACTGCGACGCCGTGAGGAAACTAAACTTAGGTATTCGCTTGTGTGGGTCACTCGCCAGAAGGAACCAGGGTCATATAAGCTGATGAGAATCTTTTTTTAGAAGCTCACCAGAAAGACCTGCTCTTTCGTAAATTTCGTAAAGCTGGCAACTATAGGGGGCCTAGACAAAATACTAAACCTATAAGTGCGCCGCGAACTGAAAAAGTTTGGGAACCCCTGGGTTGGTGTGTAGACGAATTTATTAAACTAAACCAGGGACAATGAATGCATGTAAAAATCACAAATATCAAAATCCCCTTACAGGGTTTTAGTTCAATATTGATTATTTATTGGTTGACATGGATATGATTAATTTTTGATAATCCAGTAACTAACTAGGGAATTTTGCTACAACTTGTTCCCCTTGAATTCTGAACTTATTTTCCAATAACCAACAACATTTATTGGAAAAATGTTCAACTGAATGATTATTCTTAAAACGATTTAAGATGGCAGACATGAAATGTTCCTCGCTTCTCTGTTATTAACACGGTGCTCTAAAAGATATCTAACTGGAGTAATAATCTTTTTAAACCTATACGGTCCCTCAAATAACAAGAATTTTGTAATTTCAGCTCTGATCAGTGAAGATGTATTATTCCCTTTTAATAAAAATCGCCAACCTTAAACGGTTTATATGGCCCCACGTTGGGCGCCAGTTGTAACAAAATAAAGGGGCCGGAGACTGTCGATCTCAGAGCATTTATGGAAACTTTAAACACAGATTAGTGTGTTGACGAATTTATTAAACTAAACCAGAGACAATGAAATACATATAAAAAAATCACAAATATCAAAATTCCCTACAGGATTTTAATTCAATTTTGATTATTTATTGGTTGACAGATATAAGTAAGATAATGTCTATAAAGATAATTTTATCTATAAAGAACTACTATTTGAAGAAGTGTCTCAATTTTTTTCACACTTGAATGAAATTAAAAATTTGCGTAATATAATGTGAGATAAACTTTAAATTGTTTTAGGTAAAACGGAGCTGAGGATAAATGTGAAATACCAGATGATAATTATTGAAAATTATTATAGTGGTAAATCATGGTTATGTCAGCACGGGTTTCCTAAATTTATATTCCTGCGTGCATCAAGAAATATCGTATTTATTGACGAAATTTCTCAAATTCACAGGGTAACTAAATGGGACATAATAATACTATAGAGAAAAAAAATTACTTGTCACCTTTTTACTTCATTCAAGATAATAACGTTCCTCCTCAATATTTTCTCGAACTAAAATTTTATACTACAACCAAGAAATTATTTTTTTCCGTGTATGTTGTACATTGTTTAAAAAATATATAATTGCATATATCTGTTATTGCTCCTTATACAACGCATATTTTTAATTGCTGTTTACGAGTTGGGTTGTTTTTCCTTAATCAAACATTTGCCAAAATCTGATGAATCGAAAACATTTCAGTGGCCTTCAACCCATGAGTTATGCCGAAAATAACGAAAACATTTTAGCAGTAATGATAAACAATAGGAGAACCTCGGTTTTAATGAAAACAGGAAGAATAGTTAATATCATCAAAACTGCATTGAAAAAACCACGTAAAGAAAAAGCAGACACATTAAAGAAGTAGTAAAGTAGTAAATTAAATAAATAGTAAAGAAAATATTTAAAAAAGACGATAAATAAAATGATAAAAAATTGGTAAAGATAATAATAATAATGAAAATAGTAAAGAAAATGATAAAGAAAATAGTAAAGAAAGTGATAAAGAAAATGGCAAAGAAAATAATAAAGAAAATGTTAAAGAAAGTGGTATAGAAAATGGTAAAGAAAATGATAAAGTAAATGGCAAAGAAAATAGTAATGAAAATGGAAAATAAAATAATAAAATAAACTAAAGAAAATAGTAAAGAAAATGGTAAAGAAAATGGTAAAAAAATGGTAAATAAAAAGGTAAAGAAAATGATAAAGAATGGTAAAGATAATGAAAATGAAACAGAAAATGGTAAAGTAAATGGTAAAGAAAATGATAAAGAAAATGATAAAGAAAATGATAAAGAAAATGATAAAGAAAATGATAAAGAAAATAGTAAAGAAAATGATAAAGAAAATAGACAAAAAAGTATTGGAAAAAAGAAGCAAGGATACATATTAAAAAAAAAGAAATATAGGAAGATAGTATTTTATTAACCTGAAAAAAACACTAGATAATGTCGACAATTTTGTTTAAATAGGAAAATTTATTTTTATTTTATATGATAGTTAATTTGTTGTGGAATTTTATTTATCCTTAATTCCAAAACTTTAAATAATTAATATTGCTCAACAGGAAAATATCCAAATTATTGATTATTTAGAAAAATAAATTCATGCTAGTCTATATGAAATATTAGTAGAAAGTAGAAAAAAAAACGATAACTAAGTAAAGTTTGCAAAATTTTTGACAAAAGGGGTTTTTTGAATAAATAGAGGTAATTTGGGACAAAAATATGGCAATTCTGGAAAAAAACTGGGTCATTTTGGACAATATTTAGACAACAACAGGTAATTTTGGACGAAAAAGTTGTAATTTCAGAAAATTTTGACAAACTGGGATATCTTTTGACAATAATGGTTTATTTTTGGACAATCTGTAGACAAACGGAGTAATTTTGAACAAATCAGATAGCATGATTGGCAAAAACGAAGCAATTTGGGATAATTTTTGACAAAGGGAGAGGATTTTGAACAAAAAAGTTGTAATTTTGGAAAAATTTGAGCAAGAGAGTACTCAAGGTACGTTTTGTTTCAATATATAAGAGAATTTTAAAAAAACCGGACGCAATTTTGGACAAAAAAGGGAATTTTGGATAATTTGTGGACAAACGGGTTAATTCTGAACAAAAATGATGACGTGATTGGGCAAAATGGAGCCATTTTGGAAATTTTTTTGACAAAAGGGGATGATTTTGGGCAAAAAAGTTGTAATTTTGGAAAATTTTGAGCAAGACAGTACTTGAGGTACGTTTTGTTTCAATATCTTGAATATCTTGTAAACAGGCATAATTTTGGACAAAGTTTAGACAATTTGTAGACAAACGGGACAATTTTGAACAAAAAGGATGACATGGTAGGGCCAAAACGGGGTCATTTTGGACAATTTTGGACAAAAGGGGGAAATTTTGGAAGAAAAAGTTGTAATTTTTGAAAATTTCGAGCAAGAAGGTACTTGGCATACGTTTTGTTTCAATATCTTGAAGAATTTTTAACAAACGTGTGTAATTTTGGACAAAAAGATAATTTTGGATAATTTATAGACAAAAGGGGTAATTTTGGACAATTTGTAAACAAAATGAGTAATTTTGAACAAAAAGGATGGTATCGTTAGGCAAATATGTGGTCATTTTGGCTAGGGGGTAATTTTGAAGGGCAAGAGGTTATTCAGGACCTTGTGTAGGTTAGGTTAGAAATTTTTTTTGGCGGCAGAATACTAAGAAGGTACACTGAAATCCTTTATTCAAAAAAAAAATGAACTGTATTTCAAAAAATACGTGTTTTAAAAAATATTGAACACTGCCAATTTAACAATATAGTATGGTTTTTCCAGACTAAGGTAGCATTTTCAAAAACAATTGAACTTATGTAAAATACATAGTTTTAGGATTAACGTTCTTTTATCTTAAAGAAAGAGAATCTTCAAATATCAATTTTGACCAGATTTATTAGATACAACCAAAAAATACTCAAAAGTCTTTGTCACAGGCTTACAAATGAGGGAAGGGGAACTACAAGAGAGGATAAACAGACCAAACGTAACTACAGTTAACACTAGCTTGACTATGGTCAGAAAAACTGGGATCAATAATTACTCGAAAGTCATTAATTTGATTGAATCAAGTTAGATGTTCAAATGTCATATTAAAACCAAAATGTCGCTTTGGATCGATTTGATATCACAATCAAATAAAGGTAGTATTATTTAAAAAAAAATTAGATAAGAAAACAGACAACACGAAAAACTGACAAGTAAAGATGGAAATATGGATATAAAAACGATGAAAAAGAAGACAAAGAAAAATTGGAACATGAAACGTCGGAAGCTTAACAACAAATTAGTAGAAGAATTTGAAACAAGTAATACAGATATGTATTCTATTGGGTATTACTGAATTAAAAAAGAAATGGAGTACGAGAAATAACGTTAAAAGGAATGAATTTATTGATATACAGTGAGATAAAAAAAAGGAGCCAGTGAAGAAATAGAAAATATATACAGAAATGGACTGTAATCTCAAAAATTATCAATTGGAAGATGGAATAGATATTAAACCAGCAGAAACATTTGAATCAAGGGCTAAATGGATAAAGTACGATTCTATATCCCACGAAGAGTAATCTTTATGGTTTCCAAATATTGTACCTTCACTTCAAACGATTTACCAGTTAGTAAAGTAGTTAGTATTACTATTGGACATACATTTGTCCTCTTAGCTATCAAAATATTTGGAAATGAAGATGAAAGGATCGACAGTTAAATTAAGAATATCTAAAAGAACCAAAATAAAAGTTGGATTGCAAATAAACAAGAGAAAAGCAAAATACAAATGGTGAAGATGGGGTATTTAAGAGCGAGTTACACGAAGAAGAGATGAGATAATAACAGAAGAGGTAAGAATGGAGGTGATCATAGAAAACATAAAGACAAAAATTGAAATAGGTGGAAAAAGAGATACAGATAAAAAGAGGAAGACAAAGAAGAACAATAGATCAATATATATGAAGAAATGAGGATTATTCTAGGATGAAGCAAAAAGAATGGGCAATAATAAGTGAATATGTATTGCATCCTTACACTCTTAGTGTATTTAAGGTTAGCAGTTAATAAAAAAAGGCATTATTATTAACCAGGAAACATTCATAAAACATTGTTCGCATTATCTGCTAAAAAGTTAAAAATAGAATGACCTCTGCGAGCCATTCGAGAAGGTTAAGTGTAATGACGATCGATATTGAAGGTCTGTCACGTAGTTACAAATACATTTTTTTGTAATAATCGAATCTGAAACACCACCGAACAGCAATTGCAACGAAAACAATAAAATCCGTAGCAGATACGTAACATAATTTAGATAAAACCATCTCAAAGGTTAAATTTAAAACGGTAGTGTGTCGTCCCAACCTCTTCAAGTACGCGTTAACCTTGTCAAAGGCGATATATACAATGCGCGCGAGAGTGAGCAAGAGAGACGGACGTATTATCAGGGAAACCTTGAATATCTCCGCTCGCCCCGCCGTACACATGCAAGGTCGCCAGGTCTGGGTTATTTGCTCTTTTGTTTGGGGTGGCCTACATTAGATTTGTTCAGGTAATTCAAAAATACTGTCTGAGGATTTAGTTGAGCTATGGATTTTAAAGAAATTACCGAAAAACAAATTTTGTTGGTCTATTTAGATTCAATACTCACCAAAGTCGGAGGGCAAGCCGTATAAGAGGGATGATCCCGGGCTCGTTGCAGCATCGGTTCAACTTTTTCCCTGGTAAAATCGCATGTATCGATATGCGCTCGAACCACTGTCTCCAATAGCCTTTGATCATCTTCTAATTCAGCAGCGATGGCCTTTTCTAACGAACGCGAATTGGAACTTTGCTGCATGGCGGCCAAAATCCTGGCCTTTTCTCGTTTGGGCACCCGTCCGAATCTGACAGCTGCAATTAAAAAGAAAAAAATAATGTAGATACAATAGAGATCGAGAAAGGAGAAATAGTATTAATTATTAGATTTAGTAGGCGCCAATGGTTCCAAAATATGGATACACAATCGAGAAAGGAGAGAAAGTGTTTCAGTTCGATAATACCGACGAGTTGAGTTGGAAAATGCGGGAGAAATTTGGATCGGCGCTTTCACGCAGAGATGAAAGTGTTCTAGGTCAACGAGAAAGTATTTGTATTCAAATTAATCGGTTGTCAAAAAAAAATAATCGGCCGATTCTGATTAGAGGTACAGATAAATTAAAATACATACGTGCATTGTGGTAGTTAACCACGCCGTTTAATATCCCTTTGAGTATGGGTAATTCCTCGTTGCCCATCTTGCACTTACGGAAACTTTCACCCATGATCACATGCGCGCGGGTATGCTGAAGCGGGCTGCTATCGCGAAGGAGCATTCCCGACTACTATAAAGCCTAGCGCGACGGTTACAATGATGGCGCGAACTGTGCAGCGAGCGGCGACAATCGACAATCGTAGGCACCCACGGTGTTTCCCCTCTAACGGCCGCCCCACTATTCGGGCGCGCTCGCTCGCTGTTGACTTCCCCTCCATCACCCTTGAACTTGAGAGCTGTGTGCGGCGCGCTGCGTCCGCGTAGCTTCGCGAATCCGGGGAAAGCGGCGGGGCAGGGGGGATGGAAGCGACAAGGACGCTTCGTGCCCGATATCACCGCGTCACCCGACACCCACTTAGAGGGCATCCCGGGAGCCGAACGACCCGATCATGCACTCGGGGAAGCGTGTCGCAAATCTAGCCGGACAAAAAGTATTTTCTAAAATTTCTCCACGCTTTTTGACTCTACAATATTAATAAGATAATAATATCATGGGTGTAAGAATATAGGTGAAGCGGTGCGCAGGTTTGATGACGTCAGCATCGGTATTGTCAGGGGTGTCTTGGCTTTGTTTACATTTTGTAATGATTGTCAAGATGTTACTCTTTTATTTCCTAGTTCTAAACATTGTAAAACTGAAAATATATATTTAGATGAAAAAAACAATCATTATAAATCACATCAAACTAAATCCCCGACGTTTTTGGTCATATATTCAATCCAAACAAAATAAAAAATAAAACTCCCAGGAAAATGTCATACAGTAACGAAACCCTAACCACTCCCCCAATCTATTGTGAATGCTTTTGCCAGGCACTTTGGTAGCGTATTTAGTGATGGATCTGATAATGAGATACTTGATGATGTTGATACAAATCCTAGTAATTTCTTTAATATTAGTTATATATCTCAAAACCAAATTATCAACGCAGTTAATAAATTAAAAAATAAGTTAACCTGTGGTCCTGATAATGTTTCATCCAAACTGGTAAAAAATTATATAGGGTCCACTCGTTTACATATTTAATCGTATACTACAAGAAGAGGCCTATCCAGACATTTGGAAAATATCTAGAATCTGTCCCGTTTTCAAAGCTGGTAAAGTTTCTGATATATCAAATTACAGACCAATGTTTGAAATTATATTTTCTAATATATTCCTACGTTAAAAATTCAATCACGGAATACCAACATGGTTTTGTGAAGCTCAGAAGTACCGCGTCAAATCTGTGTACATTTACGCAATACATATCTAGTTTAGACTGTAGAAATCAAGTTGACGTCGCATATACAGATTTTAGTAAAGCGTTTGATAAGGTGTCTCACAAACAATTACTTCTGAAACTAAGACAATTTGGTGTTACAAAGAGTATGCAATCACTGTTAAAGTCTTTTTTAACTAATCGACAGTTATATGTTGAATACGAGAGTGCCAAATCTTTTAATTTCGTGTCAACGTCAGATGATACTCAGGGCTCGAATTTGGACCCTTTATTATTTGTTATTTTTATTAATGACATCTGTCATTGTATCAACTCTAAGAAACTTTTGTTTGCAGACGATATGAAAATTTATAGGGAAATAAAGGAGGATACCTCAGATTGCATTGCTCTTCAAAACGACCTTGTCAACTTACATAACTGGTGTATCGTAAATAAACTATATTTGAATACTAACAAATGCAAAGTTCTGTCCTTTTTAAGAAAAGAAGTAATAAGACTTAAGAATCTTCTTGTCAAGTTAAATTAAGTTTTATATCTGGCATATTAAGGCAGGTTGTAACCTCTTCTGTTGACACCATTCTAATTTCGTTTATTGCAGATTAAACTTTCGTTTGTTACACTTGTAAACATGTTAATACAGATTTATTGAAAAGTGCCTGGTTCTTGTAGTTGCAACTATCTTTAAACAACTGCTTATCATGTAAAGAAGGAAGCGTAGTTCAAACGAATTATGGTGCATAACTAGCTTATAAATGACATATTAGGTCCATTAATTTGCAACATTGCCATATCTATTCAACTTTAGTAAGGTTTTAATTTATTTTTGAAGACTTTACTTGCCATATTTTTTTAATAATAATTCTACAATTAAAAATGTCATTCTTGACTTGCCTTGTAACTAACTGAAACTATCAAAATTTGAAGATTTATTTATTTTTTGGAAAATTACCACATGGAATAAGTACTTTTACATTTAACATTTAATTTTTAGCAAATAGCACACATGATTTTATTAAAATAATTAAGGAATAACTACTTTATGTTATTAGATAGGTAAATATTTATTTTGTTTCATTAGAATTACCAAATCAGTAAATGTATATTATTCCTTAATTAATAAAAAATTACTTCTGTATTATTTTTTTTTAACCTACTGTTTTATATATTTGACATAAATAATAAGCATGCGGTTGCAGACACAAAATAAATAAGAGGATAATTTAAAAACACCAAGAGTTTTTCACCACTATTTTAATAGAAACACTAGTACTTCTACTTGAATAGTTATTTTTACAATAGCTGAATAAAAAGTTATAAATTTAAAATATTTTATGGACGACACTGAATTACAAATAAGTGTTACAAAAATATAGTTTGTATTCAAGTTCAATATTCAAACTGCATTAATTCCTCATTAAATAATCCTGAAACATATTTTTGACTAATAAATCAATATGAAGAATTTCGTCCAGCTATATCGACGAACTGCCCTTGTTTAGTAAGAAGGCAACGACGATTGGCAACACCCCAAGACAATAAAAATTGATATTTGTGAAGCAGTTTTGTTCGGTATTTTTAGACGTATGTAAACAATCCGTTGCTATAGATTTGCATAATTATTCAGTAAAAACAATTTGGCGAAAAATATTGTTGTCATTGTTGACGAATAATTAGAGTTGCCGATTGACCTTGACTTGGGTATAAATAAGATTTGTTTTTATCATCGTTAGTCCTAATAATAAATATTGAAACACCACGATTTTGGTTTGACCTTTTGCGGTCAAATTTTCGGAAAAAAAATTGCCTCACACGAGCTGAACACGGTTTACAAATTAAGTCAGTAGTTCAAATATATCGATCTTTAAAATTCGATAAAACCAGTTCTGTTTTTAAAAAATATTATTAAAAAGTAAAAGCGAGTCATTTTAAATGCAGTAATTCAAATGTACCCAGAAAAATTAAGTTAGTAGTTCAAATGTATCGATAGTTAAATTTCGATAAAATTAATTCTGGCTTTAAAAAATTGTTAAATCGTAAGAGATAGTAATTTTAAGGTTTTTAATTGCAGTAGTTCAAATGTATCAAATAAATTAAGTCAATAGTTTACACGAAACTATTTTTAAATTTCGATAAAATTAGTTAAGCTTTCAAAAAACACTTTTAAAACGTAAAAGCAAACCATTTTAAGTGCAGTAGGTCAAATGTACCAGACAAATTAAGTCAGTAATTCAAATCTATTGATCTTTAAATTTCTATAAAATTTAGTTTTAAAAAATACTGTTAAAACGTACAAGCTAGTAATTTAACGCATTTTAAGTGTAGTAATTCAAATGTACCAGACAAATTAAGTCAGTAATTCAAATATATCGATATTTAAATTTCAATAAAATTAGTTTAGCTTTAAAAAATATTGTAAAAACGTAAAAGCAATCAATTTAAACTCCACTCATTTTAAGCATTTTAATTGTAATAGGTCAAATGTACCAGACAAATTAAATTAGTAATTCGAATGTAAAATTGCGGTAGTTCAAATGTACCAAACAAATTGAGTCAATAGTTTAAATTTCAACAAAACTAATTCAACTTTAAAAAATACTATTAAAACGTAAAATCGAGTCAATTTAAGCATTTTAATTGCAGTAGTTCAAATGTACTAATCAAATTAAGTTAGTAGTCCAAATGTATCTATCTTTAAATTAGTTGAGCTTTAAAAAATACTACCAAAACGTAAAATTGCAGTAGTTCAAATGTTTCAATCAAATTAAGTTAGTAGTTCAAATGTATCGATATTTAAATTTAGAAAAAAAAATTGATCAGCATTAAAAAATAATGTTCAAACGTAAAAGTGGGTCATTTTAATTGAAATAGTTCAAATGTACAGCCAAATTTAGCCAGTAGTTCAATTGTATCGAGTTTAAAATTTCAATAAAATTAGTTCAAATAAATGGATAATTGAACTTTCATTAATTTTGTAACAGAAAGGACGTGTTGCTCCTCTAAATCCTTCTCGCCCACTGAATCCTTTTTCGTTACAATGAATGGAAGTAGTCCCTACATTTCCAGGACGAAGTGTTGCCAAACGTTTTTAAAAAAATAAAATAAATATATTTTTATTTCTATATTGGCAGGTAAATTCAAATGCAAAAAAATTAACTTGGAGTTACGAAAAGAAATATTTAACTCAAACTAACCATTTTAAAAATAACACAATTTTTCTAATACCTATTTATTGGAAATTAATAATATGATATTTTCCAACATCTAACAATAATTATTATCTTGGAACTTCATTAGCAAAACCGACAAACATTTATATTAAAAAATTATTATGGAATTCAAAAAAACTATACGAAATTTAAATACCTAATTTACGTAAT